GGTATGGCTTGTGGGAGTAGTGGAGGTACGGTCAATTTGCATATTACTCTTTTATTACATAGGACACACACACACACACACACACACACACACACACACACACACACACACTAGTGGCTCAGTGCATAAAATTCATGCATGGGGGAGGGGTTTCCTTCTGCCCAGCCTGCACCCTCTTTAATCGAGGACCCCTTGGGGAATGTCTGACTGCTGATTTAGGCCTGATCCCTTTGGGACCACTGGCTCCTAACCACTCACCTGCCTGCCTGCCTGCTTGATCACCCCCAACTGTGTCCTCCCCTGCTTGATCTCTCCCCTAACTGCTACCCCCTGCCAGCCTGATCGGTCCTAACTGCCTCTGTCTTGCAGGCCTGATCTTGCCCCCAACTGTCCTTTCCTGCCAGCCTGATCTCACCCTCAACTGTCCTCTGCTGCTGGCCTGATCTCGCCCCCAGCTGCCATTTCCTCTGGCCTGATCGCCCCTAATTGCCTTTGCCTCAGTCCCATCAACATGGCTTTGTCCAAAAGGAAGTCAAACATCCGGAAGATGACCGCTTGACCCGGTTTAATTAGCATATTACCCTTTTATTAGTGTAGATAGATGTTAGTAATCAGAAAACCTCTTAGGACCGGTGTGTGAGGGACATGTGGCATATTGGGTAGAGACCTTGCCATTTCATAAGTACATGCATACGTGTTTCCTTTTAAGGTTGTCAGTTTCTCTAAAAATGGACCTAATCTCCTGCCTCATCTAGAATTTAGGGAAGGGGGCTGGCAAAGATCTCACTTTTCAGCATGCAGAGTTTCATTTAACCCGTTATTTTCAATGAAGGCCTCACTTAGCTGTGTACAATGTCCCCAGCACTAGAGACTTGCTCATTTATTTATTGTCTCCAGACTTCAATTGTAAATCTTCAGTGCACTGTGTGGGGCAGAGATCTGGGAGGTCTTGTTACTCCTGCAAACTTTCAACCATCCTGTTTTTAGTTTCTTACACCCTTGCCATCAGATATATCTAATGCCCTCAGTTCTAAAGCCTGTTAAGGGTTTTTTGGTGTGAATTGGCTTCTTGTCGGCTTCCCTCCCTGCTGACAGAATGGAAAAACACTTAGCAGAGTGGAGAAAGAGGAAACCCAAGATAGTTACTCCTTGCTATCCACTTTCCATCTTTGAAAAATGTACAAACTTGTCTAATCTGCTCTTCAGTCCTTTGTGTCCTGTAGTTCCTTCAGTTTTTATTTCTTAACTCTTATATCAGGGAGAGTTCAAGAAGATAGAGGTTCAGTCCCCATGTCTAACTGGAAGAGACCCTTACTGCCTTTTTCATTTGCCCTTCTCATTTCACTGTCGGTTTATTATGAGCTTCAAAGGAGGTTCTTTGGTTAAACCACTTCCCAATTCATTCCTGTTTGTTAGCTTCCGCACACTGACAGGTCTGTCTTTGCTCTGTAACCACCTTGGAAACTCTCCAGCTTCTTTTTTGACAACCAGTTGCCTGTTTTATTGTAGAGGGTACAGTTCCCCCAGACATACAAATGCTGGGTTATATTTTATTGCCTTTTTTTGTGGGGGGAGTTTTTGTAGTTTTTATGTAACAAAGCACACACATATTATTTTGTTTGGGAAATCAGCTTATTCTACTCCCCTTTCTTGGCCTGTGCACTATTATAGTATTTCCTTTGTCTCATACATAATAAAATCATCAAGAGTGTGTTTTGTGGAATAGCAAGAAAGTAATTTATATTCTACAATATATCTTTCTTTCTTATAGAACACTAGAGGCCCGGTGCACAAAATTCATGCAGGGAGTAGGGAAGAGGTAGTCCTGGCCTTTACCTTCTTGTGGGGAGCGGGCCTAAACCAGTAGACGACATCCCTCTTGCAATCTAGTACCCCTTGTAAATCTTCCGCCCACCTGCTCACTGCTCCTTAGTGCTGCCTCGGAGGTGGGAGAGGCTCCTGCCACCCCCACTGCGCTTGCCAGCCATGGGAGCAGCTCCTGTGTTGAGCATCTGCCCCTGGTGGTCAGTGCCACATCATAGTGACTGGTCATTCCGGTCATCCCAGCGTAATGGTCACTTAGGCTTTTATTATATAGATGATGTACACTGAGTGTCCAGATTATTATCTCTGAATGCATAATAATCTGGCCACTCAGTGTATATATATTAGAGTCCTGGGGCATGAATTCGTGCATGGGTGGGGTCCAGCCAGCCTGGCCAGGGGGAGGGTATATGGGTGGTTGGCCGGCCTGCCTGCTGGTTGAATTTCTGGTCGAGGGGACAGTTTGCATACTAGCCTTTTATTATATAGGATATACACTGAGTGGCCAGATTATTATGCGTTCAGAGATCATAATAATCTGGCTACTCAGTGTATACAATGCTTGTGGGCTTTGTACATGATTTAAGTTAGGCACCTGGTAATAATGCATTTTCTTTAAGGCCTAATGAAAACATTAGTTTAATATTTTTTGCTTAATTATTATGTTTTCATTAAACTCTTAAGATTAACAATACATGAGCATAGTTGATTCAAGTTTTGCTAACAGTTGACCCCTCTCAAACCTTTTATGTTGGTTGGGAATTACTCATTAAGCCCTTTTACAACACTGAAACATAGAAACCAAAGGAAAAAATAGATCTCAAAAGGTTAATAATTTTATTAACAAGGAATAGGATAGGTAGATTAGAGATATTATGTCACTTTGTGCATGTAGTAGATAAGAGATACTGAACCATGGGGGCTTTTTTTTTTTTTTTTTTTTGCCTATAAGGACACATGTCTTTCTTTTTTTATATTGTTTTCTGTGGAATTGTATGGTTGACCTGCTTATTGCTTTTCCTGTGGGCTCCAAGTTTGTGTGTGTGTGTGTGTGTGTTGTGTGTGTGTGTGTCCGTGTGTCCGTGTGTCCAGCAGTGAGGGCAATCGCTATCATTGATTGATTGATTTAACGGTCAGGTGGGCAGAGATATGGCAGGTATTTTAACATCATTTTCTTTTTAGATAGGCTTCCGGTGAAGGTATGTGGTTTTGAATCTGCCATGAACACTTCCACTATCTAGCTCCTAATTTCTTCATAGATCAGCCTGGATGTTACTTCCTCTAAAAGTCTTCCCTGATCACTCCACTTCTCCCAAATAGATTAGATATGTCTGCTATGTATTTATATAGCATCCTGAATGCCTATCTTGTAGTTTATTTATCACCATCCTTCATTAGATTAGGCCTTCTAAAGCAGAATGTGTCTGCATACATATTTATTCAAAATACTCAGTTTTTGAATGAATGAATGAATGAATGAATGGATGGATGAATGACATTGTGTAGCCAAAAATTGCATCTGTCTCATTGCCCACTTTTGGAGACTGTCCTTTAGATGGTGCTTCCTGCCATTGATGGGCCAGGTTTTTTGGTCTAGAACTCCATCTTTTAGTAAAAAAAGAAAAAGAAAAAAAAGCACCAGACAAAAAGTAGGTAATTTATTTGATTGAATAGTACTCACTGAGTATAGTAATATTCTGATGTTAATCTTAGCCTCATGTCTTAATCACCTGAAATCATGCTTTTGTATATTGATAGATTTTTTTATAATTAGGGTAGTTTGCATTCATGTATATGCTGTCTGTATGTTCTTGCAATGTTTTGCTGTAAAGTCAACATTAGAACTATGAGTTCTGCTCTATTGCTATGATAATGAATGTATGAAGAACTCCTTAAAATTTAAAACAATCTAAATTTGTTCTTCAGCCAGAGAAAGCTGCCAACTGTGATTTAGAAAAAAATAGCAGTTTTTTGAGATATAAAGTTCAATAAAATTCACCCTTTTAAATTTTACAATTCATTGTTTTTTAGTATAGTCACAGCGTTGTATAACCATCACTACTATGTAATTTATCATCCTCCAAAGGTACACCATACTCATTAGCCCCTCCTCATTTTGCTTTTTAACTATTAATTTACTTATTCTGTGCATTTCATATAAGGGGGATATTTATACATTTCATACTAGTTGTTAATTTCATACTATATGTGGCTTTTTGTGACTGGCTTCTTTCACTTTGTATGATGTTTGAAAGATTTATTTGTGTAGTAACATATATCAGTACTTCATTCCTTTTTATGGCCAAATAATATTTTGTTATAGCACATTTTGCTTATCCATGCATCAGATAATTGCCATTTAGATTCTTCCTACTTTTTGGCTATTATGGATAATGGTGCTGTGAACATTCATGTACATGTTTTTGTGTTGACATATGTTACTGATATACAAATGATTGAGAAATTCAAAATGTTATTCATATATAACATATATACAGAAATGTGAATGTTCACCTTAATGAATATTTACAATGATATTTATTTGTTTACCCATGTAACAAGAACCAAGATCTTAAAAGAAATATTACCTGTATCATTAGGGACTTGTTGATGTTTGCTTCGGTTTAGGTTGCTTCATTTACTTGTATACTCTGGTAGAGCTGAAGGCTTATCTTAACTGTATTTCTGGAACATAAGCTCAGGAGGTACCTGATGTCACAGTAGTGGAGTTGTTGAGATAATGGACTCTAAGGCCTTGGCTGCTTGAGTTCAAATCCTAGCCCTACCACTTATTAGCTTTGAGACTGTGGGCAACTTTACTTAACATCACTCTGCCCAAATTTCCTCATCTGTAAAATGGGGATAAAACTACCTCAGAGGCAGTAATGTAAGTAGGTTGCTTAGAAAATTGCCTGATGATCATATTAAGTACTGTACATGTGTTACATAGTATTATTGTTATGTTTATTGTTATTGTGTATCTCTTCTCTAGAATATAAGCCCTTTGTCTGACTGACTTATCACTGTATTCTGAAAGGCTAGCACTGTGTTGGCACATAATAGGTACTCAATAAATTTTTGAGGAAGGAAGGAAAGGACTTTAAATAATGAGTGGCAGAATTCCTAAATTCTTTCCTGAAACCGCTTTTGACAGCACCCTCTTTCTTTTACAACAGCTTTTGGAGCTATTTGACAGTGAAGACCCCCGGGAACGGGACTACTTAAAAACAGTCTTACACAGAATTTATGGCAAGTTTCTTGGTCTTAGAGCATTTATCCGAAAACAGATTAACAATATTTTTCTAAGGTAAGTGGAGGGAGGGGGGAGAAGGAGAAGCAAAGTTGGTGGTTTTATAGAAGTATTAAGTAAACCTCAAATATTTGAATGTAGTGTATTGACTTTATTTCTCTCTCTCCCTCTCACTCTTTCTCTTTCTTAAAGGTTTGTTTATGAAACAGAACACTTCAATGGCGTAGCTGAACTGCTGGAAATATTAGGAAGGTAAGTACATTTTTATCCAATTGCTAATCTCTGGTGAGTATCGTTCTGTGAATTAGGTTCAGGTGGTGCAGGGAAATGCTGACCTAGATCTACTGCTCTATGTACATCTGATACTCTCATTTGTGCTTTAGTGTGCTTCCCAACTGACTCTCCAAAACTCGGTTTCCTGTTCCCCTTGTTCCACATTTAGGCATTGCCAATTCTGCTGGGATGACTGAAAGAGCTAGCAGTTTATTTCCCATTACACAGACAGTACATCTGATTGCAGTCAGACCAGATACCACAAAACATCTTATTCTTGTTAGTTTCTAGACAACCTGCCCTTTGCCAGATTTTTTGAAAGCAAGTTTATAATAAATCGAGAAGAATGCCATGTTCCAGGAACCCGTGGACCCAGGTGTAGTCCTTTAGCAGCTGTTTCCTGGTGCAGTGGAACGAATTGGAAAGAGACAGCTGTTGTGTAGCTTTCTACACTCAAGGGAGACTAATGTAACTGGACAATGTGATTACTTAGTCTCTCCTCCTAATATGAGGAGAAAAACAAGGTGGAGCCACGTGGTTTTCTCTAACTTTCTGGACTGGGCTCTAGGGTATGCTTGGTCTGAGCAGACATATCAGGGACAAGAAAGAATGTTATCTAGAAATGGAAAGGGTCATAAGTGAGCAAGGCAGGCAATTATTTAGGGAAGGAAAAGAGGGAGGAAGAATAAAGAGTTGTTGATACAAAAGATTTGGGGACCGTCCAACCAGGTTTCAGAGCACAGGAGCCTGTCCTGAGAGAGGAGAAGCCAATTTCCTTCTCTTAAATTTCCTTGAAGTAACTAAGAAATCTTGATTGCCTCTGGGATGGGTTTGGGTTGCTCTGGACCAGTCATAAACTGATTAACATTTAACCCAATCTCACAAGAACAATTTGTCTTAGTTTAGCTTGTTGTGGTAGCATTGCTAATTCACATCTCTTTCCTTCTTCCTAGCATTATCAATGGCTTTGCTTTACCTCTTAAGGCAGAACACAAACAGTTTCTGGTGAAAGTGTTGATCCCTTTACACACCGTCAGGAGCTTATCACTCTTCCATGCCCAGGTAGAATTTTGTACAACTACTTTTGGAAGCAAAGTAAAGTTTGCAAACCCAGTGTTTCTTCGATACTGATATGTGCTTATTTTGTTGTAACAAAGACATTTTAAAGTTTAAAATACTGCCCCCCAAAATAAAAGTGTGTGTGTGTGTGTGTGTGTGTGTTCAGTGCATAGGAGACTCGGGAATATTTTTCAAGTGAAAGGAGTATTTATGTAGTCATCTCATTATTCAGAGAATTTAGATGACTTGCCAGTTCACAAAATTATATATTGAACATGTTGTGTATAGTAATATATGTATGTGGGCTTTTCAGATTTAGATTTTTAGACATGTGTAATCATTTTTGAATGTTTTTGAATATTTTGTCTCAGTCTTATTTTATAATAGTCTATTAAGTTGCCTTTTGCTCCCTCTTCTAGTCATTCACCATATCTTTTTAACTTTCTACACACAAATAAATGCACAGTAAGCAAATCAATATTTTCACATCTATTTTATTTTTAGCCTTCATTACTTTAAAAAGTGTACCCTGTCCTATTATTCCCACTCTTAATTCCCATGCTAACACTCTCTTGCATGGTAAGCATGTCACTAGTGGGGAGAGAAATGATCTAGTAGCGTTTTAGTTTTAGTATTTCAAACCACTGGCTCCCCAATCCCCCCAGTGGGAATGTTTTGAGTTTGCATAAAAATGTAACACATTTTTCTGAGCAGTGTTCCTCTTTAAATGTGAAGTTATGTGTTTCGAGGAAAATTAGTCCATATGTTTCTAATTTAGAACACTCTCAAAAAGTTGTTTTCCAAGAGTGGGTTTCTTGTCCAAGAATCCTTACCAGCCCTTTAGCAAATCTTGCCTCTAGTTTTTGAAGCAGGCTATTACATTGCGTGACCATCTAGAAGAATTCTTGCCTACTAGTTGAGTTGTAAAACTCATATTTTTCCAGGTCCCAACTGGCAGGGAGAACCTTCTGTGTCTTCCTGAAACTGCTTTAGTTTGCATGTGCCAGTTAGGCAACCAGCAAGGTTTTTAGGAAGAGCCTACTCCTCATAGAACACTCTTCTGGAACCACAGTAAAATGCAGTGCTATCGAGGTTAGCCTGGCACAAAGAAAGCCCTGAGATATAGTTCAAACTATATGTAAATGAGATACTTTCAGAATATACTGAATGTGATGTTTCACCTCTGCTTTTCATTAGCTGGCTATGTCATGTCCCAATATTCTTTTCCTTTTGTTAATGTTAGGCTTAAAAAAATATTGATCCTAGGGAGGTAGGAAGTGAGGGAGGAAGAAAGAGAGAGAGAGAGAGAGAGAGAGAGAGAGAGAGAGAGAGAGAGAGAGAGAGAGAAACGTCATTGTGAGAAAGATACATCAATCGCTTGCTTCATCCCTGCAACCTAGTTATATACCTTGACTAGGATCAAACTCACAACCTTATTGTGCACTGGACAATGCTCTAGCCAACTGAGCCACACCAGCCGGGGCTATCCCAGTATTCTTTTTTTTAAAAAAAAATTCCCCTGGAGCCTTATTAGTGCCATTCTTTGATTTGAAAAGTAGCTTTTTATATATATTTTTATTTTGAAAATGAATTGGATGTGAAGTTACTAAAACCAGAATTTGAAATTTTTTAGGAAGTTTTGATAATACGTCTTTTGAAACCTTACTATATAGAATTTCTAACTTTGTCCTTCATTTTTATTTCTCCAGCTGGCATATTGCATAGTACAATTTCTGGAGAAAGATCCTTCACTCACAGAACCAGTAAGTACCTTTTTCCATAATTTTGAATTATAGACCACTTTTCATGGAGTGTATATGAAAAATTAAGTGTCATTTGTTTTTCTCCTTTCCATTTTAGGTTATTAGGGGGTTAATGAAATTTTGGCCCAAAACATGTAGTCAGAAAGAGGTAAGTACTTAATGTCAGTGTGTTAATAGCTTACTAAATAATTGGCTGAATGCCAGGCACCAAGCTAATAAGCATGTATAAAATGAATTCTTTCACTTAATCCTTATTGCAGCTCTGTAAGGCAGGACTGCCAATGTTCTCATTTTACTGGTTATGAAATTGATGCCTTGAGAAGTTAAGGAGCCTGGCTGAGTATCCTAACTATAGGTGGTTAGGCCAGAACCTGCCTTCCTGATTCGTGAACCATGGACTTTTATCACAGTGCTGCTTAGCCCCATCGAAGCCCAAGCCAGGCCCCAGTCATGTGTCCAACTGTCTGGGCCTCTCTCTGTCACCTTCCCAGTGGCCACCTTCATATTGTGGAGGTTTTGCTGTCACTGTGGATAGATGCTAGAGCAAACTGCCCAAATACCCACTTTAAAACATAGTGTGGATGGGATCTTACTATGTACATTCATAAAATGTTACAGAGCTGTAGTTTAGCTGTTTACAAGTGGTCTGGACTCCTTTGACCTACAATGATTTATTATATATATATATTCTTTAAAAAAATCAAACATACGGTATATATAATTTGATGTCAGAGAAGAAGGGGGAGAGAGGAACATCAAAGATAAGAGTGAATCATTGATTACCTTCCTTCTGCATGTCCCCCATTGGGAATTGAACCGTGACCTTTTGGTTCATAGGTTGACACTCAACCACTAAGCCACGCCAATCGAGCTGTACTTTTATATTTCAGAGAGGAATGGAGAGTAAGAGATAGATAGAAACATCAATGATTAGAGAGAATCATTGATTAGCTGCCCCCTGCATGCTCCTTACTGGGGATTGAGCCACACCAGGGCAGGTGCCCTGACTGGGAATGTAAACATGACCTCTTGGTTTATAGGTTGATGCTCAACCACTGAACCACGCCAGTTGGGCATGATTTGTACTTTTGCCAAGACCTAACCGAGAATGTGCCATGCAAGGTTGTTGTGGGGGAGTGTCTCTTAACTTGGAAGTGATCCTAGCTGGGTGCCAGATCTGCATCCACTCTCCTGAAAGGTTAGAAATCATGTGAAAATAGCCCAGAAAAGGTCAGCTATTAGTTTTACACTTTGGAAAAATTTTGGGAAAATTTATTGATTGATTGATTGATTGATTGATTGATTGATTGATTTTAGAGAGGAAGGGAGAAGGAGAGAGAGAAATATCAGTGATAAGAGAGAATCATTGATTGGTTGTCTCTGCCCAACCCCTACTGGGGATCGAACCTGCAATCTGAGCATATGTCCCTGACCAGAATGGAAAATAGGACCCTTCAGTATGCTGACATTCTACCCACTGAGCCAAATCGGCTAGGTCAGAATTTGTATCTTGACAAATGGCAAGAGTCTACAAATTTTGCTTTTAACAGAAATACCCTCCTTTTCAAATCAGTTTTAATTCTCCAAAACCCTGTACAGCTTCAGAAAATCATCTAATTTCTTAATACCTGTTAGGTAAAATTAAAAGTATGTATGCATTGCTACCAGCTGTATCTTTTTTTTTTTTTTAATATATTTTAATGATTTTTTACAGAGAGGAAGAGAGAGGGATAGAGAGTTAGAAACATCGATGAGAGAGAATCATCAATCAGCTGCCTCTTGCACGCCCCCTACTGGGGATGTGCCCGCAACCAAGGTACATACCCTTGACGGGAATCGAACCTGGGACCTTTCAGTCCGCAAGCTGTCGCTCTATCCACTGAGCCAAACTGGTTTAGGCTACTCAGCTGTATCTTAAGATACGAAGAAGGCATCACTATTTTTCATATTTTAATTGCATACTTAATTTTTCTGAGGTAATTATTTTTTTACTAGAGGCCCAATGCACGAAGATTCGTGCAAGAATGGGCCTTCTTCTGGCTGCCAGCACCACCTTTGCTCTGGCTGGAGCTACCTTTCCGTCTTCCCACACTGCCCAGAGGCCCCGAGTGGCTAGGGTGGTGTGGAACGCCTGTGTCATATGGTGACGACACAAGCGTCCCACTTCCCGACCACTCAGCACCTGTGTATGAAAGTTAACCCACCATCTTTGTTGGATTAATTTGCATACTCACTCTTGATTGGCTGGTGGGCATCATAAAGGTATGGTCAGTTTGCATTTTTCTCTTTTATTAGTGTAGTTGCCTAGATAGATAACTGGTTTTTGTTTCTCTGTCGGTTTTCCATTATACTTAAAACAACTGAATATACTATTGATTTGGCTCCATTTTGTGATCTAAAAGCAGTTTCTTGAGACACATGGTACTGAGGTCATGAGATTCATTGTGCTCAGTAGTGAACAATTGTGTGCATGTGCATGTGTGTAAGTGTGGAGATTGGGTAGAAAAGCTTTAAAGGCTCCATGCTTGGGGTAAACCTGTTCATTTGTATCTTTCTGATCCTATGTGTTCTATTAATAGCATATCCTAGGGGAGGGTGAGGATTGGTCCATGGGCCATATAAGGCCTGTGGAATAATTTGGTCTGGCCCTGTCAAGGCATTAGGTGTGAGTTAATTAAATGTTTGACCAAATAAAGCAGGCTTATTTTTAAGTTGATTTTGTATGGCCTGAGAATGATATTATAAATATCCAAATGGCTGTTGGCAGAAAAAAGGTTCCCCACCTCTGTCGTAGAGGAACACCTACCACAGATCAGCCTGGACATATTTGGGAAATGCCTGCATGTGCCATTGTGGGCTTTTGTGTATGTATTCAGGACACCACGCCCCCGTTGTTTAAAACATGTGGGTGAGGGAGGAGATAGTTGGGTTGATAGCAGTAGAGAGAGAGCCGCACAGGACAGTCCTGTATTGCAGGATCCCTACTGCATTGTCTAAGAGCAGTTGTTCTGTGTAATAGATGTAACACATTTTTTCCAAAGTAAATAGAATTGAGTTTTCAATGTCAAGGAGACTTGCTCTCAGCAAGTACCTTCTGGTGAATTCTTTGTGAAATGAACATCTCTCAGCATAATACCTGTGTTCATATGTATAAATTTTTCTTAAAACATTACTAACTCTCTTTAATCTTCACTGTTTCTAAGGATTTTTAAAAATGAAATGCCTGACATTTTGTGCTTTGTGTGTTTCTTACAGGTTATGTTTCTTGGGGAGCTGGAAGAAATATTGGATGTGATTGAACCTTCACAATTTGTTAAAATTCAAGAACCTTTGTTTAAACAAATTGCCAAGTGTGTATCTAGCCCCCATTTTCAGGTTAGTACCAGGAGGGCATGAGCCAGAGCAGCCTATGCAGCATGTATTATTTTGGTAAATTTTTATTTGTATTGAAAAAAATATAATGGACACCAACTACCTGTTGTTACTTATTTGCTATTTTCTCACATGATAACAATAATTTTAACAATAAGCACCTTTATCTTGAGCACTACATGCCAGTCACTGTGATGATGCTTTCTGCTCAGTATGACCAACCTGCAGGAAGGGCATTGTGATTTTTACAGACGGGAACGCTAAAGCTCAAAGTGGTAGAATGATTTGTCTCAAGTAAAATAGCTGAATAAGAGGTGGACTGGTAGGCTTCCTATAGAGCAAGCATGGCATACTCTTGGCCCACAGCCAGTTGCCTCATTTATTTGTCCTGTGTTAGCCTTTTAGTTTGACGTGCTTGCTATAGAGTATAAGAGAGAATGCTAAATAAAGCTTAAGAGAAAAAGAACACTAATATTTTACTCTATACTAGCTACTTTGCATACATTATTTCTAAACTTCAAATTATCTTATGAGGCTCCCCCACTCCCCATTTTCTAGATGAAAAAAATAAAAATGATATTCAGAATGATTTGCTTAAGGTCCCAAGTTAATAGGGAGTAAAATCAATAGGTATAGCTTCTTTTCTGAACCTTCTTGTGGCACAACTCTGCCTCCTTGTGGCCACTTGGGGAGAATACAGTGCAGGTGAACCTGGGCAGTCCTTTTCTCATTGGGGCCCTTGTTGCAGTGATGAGGAACCCACGTAGGAGGGAAGAGAGTGATCTGGGGTGAATATACATTAGGTTTCATCCTTCTATATCTCACCAGAAGTCCGAATTACAGAGTAGAGAATTGACTCGATATATTGCCTGCTGATTTGAAGAGATTGTTTAGTTTATAGTTGGCAGCACAGAAGCACACTGCTAACAGTGGACTTGAGGGACTTCCCCTGCTCTGCCATTATCCTACACAGTTAGAGACACTGCTGTTGTCTAAAGACATCACAAGTCAGTGATCTTGTGACAATCTTGTGATTGTACTCCCCACACACACCATTATATGAACCATTACATTCGGTAATATACATCTAGATAAGAAAAATTCAGGCTATTGTGTAGATGTTTTGCATATTACACATGGCTGTGGAGCTCAAACATCTGGATTGTTTACCTTATTTACTGTTTTCATGAGGATATTTGGTATAATTAGGGCAAGGAGCAGGAACCTTTTTAAAAAATACTTTTATTGATTTCAGAGAAGAAGGAAGAGGAAGAAAGATAGAAACGTTAATGATGAGGCAGAGTCATTGATTGGTGTTTTCTGCATACCCTCTACTAGGGATTGAGCCAACAACCTGAGCATGTGCCCTGACTGGAATCAAACTATGATCTTCTGGTTCATAGGTTATGTTCAACCACTGAGCCACACTGGCTAAGCAGGAACCTTTAAAAAAAATTTTTTTTAAGACATTGCTTTTTAGAGAGAGAAGAAGGGAGAGGGAGAGGGAGAAAGTGAAATATCAATATGACAGTGCAACATAGATCAGGTGCCTCCTACAAGCTCCCACTGGGGATCAAACCTATAATTCCCTGGTGTCTGCCCTTGACCAGGAATCGAACTGGCAACTTCCTGGTGCACAGGACAATACTCAACCAATTGAGCCACACCACACAGGCCAGGGCAAGGAGCAGGAGTCTTTTAAAATGAGTGTCACCAGGAAGGCTTAGTGATTCTCAGAAGCTCAGAAAGAAGATGAAGTGTCTCAGTCAGTTGGGGCTGACTAACAAAATTCCACAGACTGGGTGGCTTATGAACAACAGAAATGATCTCTCACAGTTATGGGGGCTGGAAGTCGGACATCAGGGTGCCGGCATGGTTAAGTAAGGGCTCTTCTGGGTCACGGGCTTCTTGTGTGCTCACATGGCAGAGGGGCTGCTTTGAAAGGCATTGATCCCCCATTCATGAAGGCTCCACTCTTATGACTTAAGTACTTTCCAAAGACCCCACCAACTAGTACCATCATTTTTCAGGGTTAGGATCTCAACACATGAGTTTTGAGGTGACACAAATATTTAGACTGTAGCAGGTTCCATACCAGACTGCGTAGCCTAAAACAACAGAAATCCATTTCTCAGTTCTGTAGGTGGGGCAGTCTGGGACTAGAGTGCCAGCATGACCTGCTTTTGTGAGTCTTGCTTTCTGTCTTGCAGGTGGCCACCTTGTCCCTTGTCCTCACATGGCCTCTCCATGGTGAGTGCATGTGGAAAGAGAGGCGGTATCTCTCTTCTTATAAGGCCACCAAGCCTGTTCAGTTAGGGCCTTACCCTCATGACCTCACCTCACCTTAATTACCTTCTGTCTCCAAATACACTCACACTGCGGGTAGGGCTTCCAAAGCAGAAAGAAAAAATTTTTAAATGATTCGATAGAACAAAAGAACTGAAAACAAAAGAAGTAAAGAGATTCTTCTTTATTCACTTGTGTCCATTGCCTCATCCAACAAACATTTATCCAATGCCTCAGACACACCATGTGCTTCGTGGTGTTTAGACACTTTGTCCATGTTGGTGCCTCTGCCTACCTTCTGGGATTCCCTTTGGCCTGGAATGGCCCTTCCTTCTTTCATCCTCCAAAGCCCAGCTTAGGTGCCACCTCCTGTGTCATCATCCTGCCACTCTTCCTCCCCCCAACGTCATCAGGGTGGTTCTGTCTGCCCTTCCCCCAGCACTTTATTTCTATCTCTGATGGGGCATTTATCACAGTTTACTTGGATAGGCTCGTAGGTCGATTCCTCCTTTCCCCACTGGCATCTGGGATGACAGAGAAAAGAGTTTAAGAGCAGAGACTTTTGAGTCTATCCCTTGCCAGCCATGTGACCTTGAGCATCAGTTTTCTGACTTGCAAAATAGAAATAATGGCACCTAATCAGTGTTGGTGGTGAGGATTAAATAATATGTATGTGAAACACTTTGCACAGTGCCTTTGATGCATCTTGTACCATTTTATTAAATAAAATTAAAATTACATTTATTTTATATTTTTCATTTAATTTATCTTTATTGTTGAAAGTATTACAGATGTTCCCATTTCCCCCCATTGACCCCTCCACCCCACTGCTACCCTCCCAGGGCGTCACCGCACTACTGTCTGTGTCCATGGGGTAGGCATATATGCATATAAAATTAAAATTAATTTAAAATTTAATTTTTAAATGAAAACAATTTCTTAATCTGATGGAATGAAAGAAGCCCATCTTATCTCATATACTACCCTTTATAGGGATTTTAGATTTTTTTTTTTAGAATTGGGCTTATATTGATTCTTATTATAGATGACTTTTTAGATTTTTTTTTAGTTTGTTTTTGGAGGTGTTCTGTTGAATTCTTAGTCAGTTGATAGTGTGGTAGTCAGAAAAAAGGGATCTGAGATAGCAGGCAGTCATATACATCTAGTACCCCCGAGTCCAGAAATGGAGCGACTTTCTCTTGGCTTATTTAGTCCAAAGCGAGGGTGACAGAAATGAAGTCTGGAAAGAGTCTGGCACTATACTGGAGTTTTAGCTTTTACCATTTGCGAGTCATGTGACTTTGGCTAGATTACCAGTCTCTCTGAACCTCAGTGTCCTCCTTTGTACAATGGGTACAACAGTAGCTACTCCGCAGGTGGTGGGTCCGATGGCACATTCCCCTGCAGTGCAGGCACAGTACCTGCCACAGGAGGAGCTTAGCAGAGGGGACTGCTCTGCAAGGAAGGGCAGGTGGTTTTCTCTGCAGCTACTGTCAGCCACATGCTGTGTGGGTGAAAGAGGTGAGTCTGGACTGGGGTTAAGCTGGGAAGGAATATGTGCATAGGGAAGAGAGGTGTTTGGAGCTTGGGAGCTATGCAGAAAAAATGTGGAATCAGATGAAGCGAGCAGTATGAAAGGAGAATAGAAATAGGTAGGGAAACTTCTTTTTCTCCTCCAAATTAATGAACTACTTTGGAGATTTCTGAAAGACTTTAACCCCACAAAAATATAGAGAATGATTAATATTTAATTTTACATTTGGCTGAATGATATAAAAATAGTCTTAAAATACTTTAGTTTGGAGATTTATAATTTTATCTTTGTCTTTTTCTCTTTTAACATTTTCTTTTTCTTTTCTCAAAGGTGGCAGAAAGAGCGCTTTATTATTGGAATAATGAATACATCATGAGTTTGATAGAAGAAAACTCTAATGTCATCCTTCCCATCATGTTTTCCAGTCTGTATAGGATTTCAAAAGAACATTGGAATCCGTAGGTTTTCAATCCCCTCCCTCCCTCCCTCCCTCCCTCCTTCCCTCCCTCCCTCCCTTTCTTCCTTGCCTTTCTTTGCCTATCCTTCCCTCTCTTGCTTTCTTCCCTTGGTCTGTCCTCCCTCCCTCCCTCCCTCCCTCCCTCCCTCCCTCCCTCCCTCCCTCCCTCCCTCCCTCCCTCCCTCCCTTTCTTCCTTGCCTTTCTTTGCCTATCCTTCCCTCTCTTGCTTTCTTCCCTTGGTCTGTCCGTCCTCCCTCCCTCCCTCCCTCCCTCCCTCCCTCCCTCCCTCCCTCCCTCCCTCCCTCCCTCCCTCCCTCCCTCCTTCCCTCCCTCTTGCTTAATAAAATGTCTTGAGTGCTTGCTGTGTGCCAGGTGCTGTGCTTGTTGCTAAAGAGAGATATGTGAAAAGATAGAGTCCTTACCTTTAACAAATTCACTGACTGGTTGGCAAGGCCCACAAGTAAACAAATGCTGTGTGAAGCAGTGTTAGAAGTGTGTTCTGTTAACATAGCCGGTCTGTGAGTGGAATAGATGTGGGATGCTCTGGGGCGAGAGGAGGGATTTGAGGACATCGGTGGAGTGGTGAGGCGCCAATTGAATCTTAAAGGAATTTGGCAGGAATTTGGCAGGTGGATGGGATGGGGAAGCCCTTTCAGAGTGTGGGTCCATCTGCCACATAAAAAGGAACAAAGATGTAGAAAGCATCTTTCGAGTTCTGAGACCTGGGAGTTTGGGAGGATGAAGCACAGGTGTCTTGGGGAGGTTGCTGGAAGACAGGTTAGAAAGGGGAGTGGGGCCCTCATGAGCCTTCACCACATGGACACTAAGGAAACACTAAAGAGTTGTAAAGTGATGTGGTCTGAATTGATTGGCACTTTAGCAATAGCCATTAAAAAACCCCACACGCAATTCAGTCATTATATATGTTCTGTAGGGAAGAAAAGTTTACAGTCTTCAAAGAGAACTTTAATATCTAGGCCTGTGAAAGTTCTGTACTTGAATGGCTTTACATATTTCTCTGGGAATAGAAAGAAAAGTAAATGTGGCATTAAAAACCACCAGGTAGAATTCAGAATATTAGTAATTAGTTTGGCTTTAAAAGTTTTGCGCACAACTGAAAATAATACAGTTTTCATTTTTCAAATTCACAAAATTTTATTAACAAAACGGGTAAAAATGAACTGATAGACAATGAAGTCTCCTTATGCAGATAGTCTCTGGAGAATCTAGAGAGTGGTTTTAGCAAGAGTGTTTAATCGCACAGTACACTGTTTTTGGCCCTTCTCCATCGCTGCCCGGAGCATTTGGGGAGGTCATTCCTGTCAGCAGGAGGGAGAATATGTTTTCCTTTTACTAATGACACAGGGAAGAAGCAACACAGCTTCTTATAAGCATTTTGGAAACATCAAACCCATGGTTTACTTAACACCTGGCCTAACTTTTACCAGTGCCCCTTTCAGAGGCATTGGAGCACAGTGCAGAAGGGGAGCGCTGTTGTATAGTTTTGCAAAGGGCAGCGCTATTTAGATCTGGCCTGAAGCTGTTGGGCCCATCATGGGACGGTCTTCGTGTTGCCCAAGAGCGTATTCTTCCTTGCTGAGTATGGAGTGCCGTTTTGGCTGTTTAGCTGCATAGTGTCCCACCGCTCATCGCAGCCATCACCAGCTTGCCTGCTACCTTACCGGCAACGTATTGGGTCAGCAAGGGGGTCAAGCTGGTGTGAGTGGACTGATGCAAATCACAGCTAGAAACATAACTCATATTAAACTGCCCAACTTATATGGGTTTAATATCATATCTACGGATATGAATAATATAAATTACTATTTCCAGCTTTTGAGTTTGATGGATTCTGTATATTATCACTTTGAAAATAAAATTCTATGCAAATTCAGGCCTCTAAGTTGCTTTATTTTTATGCTTGCTTTTTCATTAAATGAAGTTAACAGTTGCCCACAGGCAAGTTTATTCTGGTTACCAATAATTAGAAGGGAAAAATTAGATTTTTCTTTTTTTAATCCTGCCAACCCCTCAGAAAGATGTCTTGCTTTGAACAGTAAAGACAGTAACTCTCGGTTTGGAAATGAACTATATGTCATTTTTAGTTGTTCCACTTAAAAGGGATGGAGATAGTGTGTAATATGTGGAGCTCATTCAAGGCTTTGTGCTTTCTTTCTCTCTCCATCCCGTTATGTACAACTAACAGGTCCCTCTTCTCCACTTCCCAGGGCTATCGTGGCATTAGTCTACAACGTATTGAAGGCGTTTATGGAAATGAACAGCACCATGTTTGACGAGCTGACAGCCACATACAAGTCAGATCGCCAGCGGTAACTTTTTAAAGCTTTTTTGTTAGCTTTGTCCAAAACTACTGAGTTCTTTCCTTGCTCTTTGCTGATGTGGCCTAATTGAACTGAAATCCTAAGCCACACAGTTTCATTCATTCATTTATGTATTTATGTATTTATCTATCTATCTATCTATCTATCTATCTATCTATCTATCTATCTTTTCATTTCTGCATGCTCATTAGTTGTGTCTTTATTAGTGCCCTTGGGCAACAAAGTGTTGTTTTGAAAAAGGCTGCTTTCTTCCTTCTCTTCTGTAGTGTTTCTCTTCTACCTCAGGGTTAAGAGCTTGGCACAGAGCTGGCTGGCATTCAGGCCCACATAAGGGAACAATCAGGTAGTTTGCCAGCTGGATCCACTCCTGTCCTGAACTTACTTGAATGACAATTGGGCTGATCTTGTACTTCACTCCAGCATCAGGAGGCATGAGGCAACATTTTGTTTAGCTCTTTGGCTCAGAATTTATTTTCTATTCTAGACCCCAACAAATTTATTGCAGTGAAAAGAACAGGGAGGTGAAGAGTCTGGTGTTTTATAAATATTGAAATGCTTAAGACCAAAAGGGGGCAAAGAACAAGTGTACTCTTTATAATAAATGCTATGGCTGAATAAATCCTTTATTGATTTCATTTATGTGATTCTTCGGTTTTATTTCTTGTTCAATATGTCCAACTTTCCAAAAGATAATGTCTTAGTCCATTTGGGCTGCTGTAACAAAATACCTCATATGGGTGTTGTATAGGCAGCTTGTAAACAACAGGAATTAATTGCTCACAGTTCTGGAGGCTGGAAGTCCGAGAGCATGGCAACAGCATGGCTGGATGAGGACCCTCTTTCTGGTTCATAGCTGGCACCTCCTCATTGTGTCCTCATTTGGAGGAAGGGGGACAAGGGATTTCTGTGGTATTGCTCACTAGAGCACTAATCCCATTCATGAGGGGACCATCCTCAAGACCCATATCATCTTTGGGGATTTGGATTTTAGTATATGAAATGGAGCTGGGGGCACGAATGTTCAGGCCCTGGCATCATTGTATTTGGAGACATTGAAGGAAATCTAGAGAGTTTGTTAGTAGTGGGACCTTTGGTTTTTTGCTCTAATCATACAGAAGCAAATGCCACTCTATATATTATAAAATTGGATCTTAGAGGATCCCAAAGGTGTGTGTGAGAGTGTTCAGGAATGAACACTTGTGGAATCTCCTGAGCAAAACTCTCTGTGGTTCTCTTGCTTTGCTTTGCCTGAGTTTGAATGTGTTACTTGCATTTTACTGACAAAGAGAGCAATGAGGGGAAAGGTTTGGTGGCAGAAGACAAAGCACCATCACACTCATTTAAAAACAATTATGGCAAGTGTTTACCTGTAGACAGAAGAGGTTGAGATTTTTAATAAAATAATGTAAATATTAATTATGGGGTATGTTGGATCATACTTGTAATTAAAAGAACTTTATTATATTTACAGCTTTTGCAAATCACAGAATTTATAATAACTTTTTTTGTCCCCAACTTAAAATGTCCTTTGTTAATTCTTACCTTTTTAAAAAATTTGTCTAATTTAAATAATTATTTAAATAAAGGAAGTAAAGTATAAATTCATGCTATGATATACCATTAAAATGTATGTTGTACATAATATTCCTTTTTTTTTTTTTTTAGCAACTAATAGCTTATTATCCCAGTTGAATAAGGATTAAAATGTAGAATCCCGTTAACAGTATTAAAGACTTTATTTCTAAAACTAGAGGCCCAGTGCACAGATTAGCGCACTGGTGGGGTCTCTTGGCGTGGCCTGTGGGGATCTAGCCAAAACTGGCTCTCCAACATCCCCCAAGGGATCCTGGATTTCGAGAGGGCACAGGCCAGGCTGAGGGACCCCACCTGTGCAAGAATCCACGCACCAGGCTTCTAGTATGCATTATAAGATCTTTGGTTAATCTATTCTCACTCTCCCTCTTGCATCAGTCTGTTCCATGTTTCCATGCCTGTTCATTGAGCGTCTGCCCCCTGGTGGTCAGTGCATGTCATAGTGAACAGTCAAATGGTCAAACAGTCAGTTGCTTAGAGTTTTATATATATAGATATAGATACTGAAATTGATTGAAATAAATTCATATTTATTGAACTTCAATAATAAACTCTTTATTGATCACTTAATATTTAAACCAGACAAACTCTTTAAAAAGATAAGAATTAACCAAGGGTATCTGGAATAGACACTGTGAATTTGATTCTGATAATCTGATACATTAAAGTAACTTATAGCAAATGGACTTTCTTATTGAGAGAAGGATTATTTTTAAGCAAGGGTAATGTTTTGTCCAATGAACAGTAGAAGGTTAAACGGAATAGATGGAGACATTGGTTTCTCCATAGATATAGATTAGGAAAAGAGAATAAAGATATTTATTTGGTACTATTAGAAAAGAACTGAATGAAGGATTTCACTTCTAGATGGTAAGACACTAGTAATTGTTTCAGTTCAGATAAAATTTTAAGGATTGCAAGTCTGAAATCGTGTATGGAATAAGTAACACTATTAGGTACACATGCCAACATTAGTGCTATGTAAAATTGAAATTGGGAGAGAATTTGACAGTATCCTAGCTGACAACATGGTTATGTTTTTAAAACTTCCTCCTACAGGTAGAGAGAAAAGTGGGAACTGTTTAGAATTTTTGAAGATAAAGTTATCAGAATAAAAGATTTATGATAGCTCAGCACAAAGTTCCCCTGGAAGAAAAGCCCCACAGGACAGATGGCACTGAATGCCATAAAGCTTTGAGCAAAGATATGAATGAAACTCTTCAGTAATAAGATGAATGTTTTTATGATGTCTGTTCTTAATTTAAACTGAATTAGGGCAGTATGAACCTTCTGTATATTTAAATTGTTTTTTAGTTGAATAAAGATACTAAGGCCTTGTCTATCAATTTCTTCTCCCTCTTCCTCCAAATTAAAGGTCATATTTTTTGAAACCAGCAGGATCTACAGAATTGATTTAAATGTACTCAAATCAGTATTCCCTGAAAACATTTTAGATTTAATATTCTTTTTAAAAATATATATATATTTTATTGATTTTGTACAGAGAGGAAGTGAGAGAGATAGAGAGTTAGAAACATCGATGAGAGAGAGTCATCAATCAGCTGCCTCCTGCACACCCCCTACTGGGGATATGCCCGCAACCCAGGTACATGCCCCCGACCGGAATCGAACTCGAGTCCCTTCAGTCCCCAAGCTGATGCTCTATCCATTGAGCCAAACCGATCTCCACTTAATATTCTTAAAATATACTGAGAAACCAAAAAAAGATAATTTACCAAACAGCTTGCTTTTACAGTTAAGAATCTGGAATTCATAATGTGATTGATGGATTATTTAATCTTGTCCTATACATATAAATTTTCAAGGTCAAAATTACCCTACAAGTAATTGTTTGAAAATTATGCCCTCTGAAATTCATTTTAGGATAACAGATACATATAAATGATTCTCATTTTTGTTTCTCAATAACTTTGAAGTTAATATGCTTTATTAAGTATAAAGGAGTATTAAAGTAAAACCACCCTAGCTGGTTCTGACTAGGTGGTTAATGCATTGGCCCGAAGACTGAAGGGTTGCAGGTTCTACGCTGGTTGGGGCACATGTGGGGGGCAACCAATTGAAGTGTCTCTCACATTGATGTTTCTCTTTCTCTGTCTCTCCCCCTCCCTTCCATTTTCTAAAAATCAATGGAAAAAATATCCTCGGGTGGGGATTAACAACAATAAAAGTTGTCATCTTCTAAGGAACTTGTCATGTTCATTAATACTACTTTGTGTCTAAATAAGTGTAAAAAAGGAAGAAGAAAAAAAAAAAAAGAGCAAGAGAGAGAAAAACTAAGAAGAAGAAATACCCATAAACTTAATGCCAAGCTTTTCAAAGACCTTTTAAAACATACATGGGAAAAAGAATGTTCAAGGGTCAGTTACTGATGAATAATGTCTTTAAACCTCCCAAGGTGTTTACTTTATATTTTGTTTCTTCCCCAGTGAGAAAAAGAAAGAAAAGGAGCGTGAGGAATTATGGAAAAAACTGGAGGATCTGGAGTTGAAGAGAGGTCTTAGACGTGATGGGATAATTCCAACTTAACAAAAAAATGGCAGCAACATCACTAACCTGTGGAGTCACACATTTTATGTAGTAGAAGATGGAGCAACAGTTTTCTGTATTGTGCAACTTTACAGTAGATTTCACATTTGTTTCATTATTACAACAGCACTGTATATACCTGTCTCTAAGTAAAGGAAAAAAAAAAAATAAGGACTTCAATCCAAAGTTTGGACAGTAGATGGACTTCTCAGAACCTTACAAACATAATCATTGTTCTTAACCCTTAAAAAGAAAAAGAAAAAAAAAGGCAGTTTTCAGAGACCTGTTAATGAAATTGCTGTTAAAATTCCATTGTCGGAGTTCCTTATTTATCATTAGCAGAGAGTATGAAACAATTCTCAAATGTGAACAATCTTAAATTTAGTTTGTCTTTCTGCTAAGCTGTTAAATGTATTTATAGGAAAGGAAGAAGAAAAAAAAAGACTGTCATTTCCATATAGGTTTGTATTACACCCTCTTCTGGATAACTTGACTGTAACTTAACATCTTTTCCTTTTGCACATCTTCGTGAGTTGAATGTCCACGCGGAATGGGGCCGTGAGGTCTGAAGGTCCCGGTGAAAGTTTTGTTTACTGGAGTGCACATCTTTCCAGTAGCCAGGTAGTCCTGGTACTCCTTTAGGTTTAAAATTTGGAGTAAAAGAGAAGAGGTGATAAACATAGTAGGGAAGGGAATTTTGGATTCATGAAGGAGTTTATGGTGAATCCAAATCAATGTCTTGAATCCTTTGAAAACAGGCACTGGGACATCATAGGCTTCAGTACCTGAGCAGTATTAATTGCGTACATCATTGAACACACATACCAGAGATGTTTTAGAAATGTCAGAGAACATCCTTTGGACCATTTTGAAATCAGAAAGACAGACACTAAATAGTACAACCATGAAATTGATCGCCAGGATTGCGGATCTAATTGGAAATAGAGTTGAGCAAACAGCTTGGACTGTTTGGAGTTGTTGCCTTACTTTTTAATATGTATTTATAAAGTATTCCAGCAAAAGAGGACGTAGCCTCTGGGGAAAAACATGTTACCGTGTTTTTTGTAGATTCTCCTTCTATATCTCATCACAGCGCCAGCCCTGTTTTTAGCCAGAAAGGATTCAGGATAAACATTATTATGCATTCTGAATTGGATGCGTATTCCTAACTACTGTATTTGTTACCAAAAGTGGTTCTACAGATGCTACTGACAAAAATCTGGAAATTCCTAATGTCCTGAGTATTAATAATAAAGTTTAAAAATGCTTTTATATCAAAGGTGCATTGTGACCAAATTGTTTAAGAAAAAACAAAAACAAACAAAACAAAATCTAGGGCTGTATTATAGCTATATTTTATTGGCTCTCTGCTTTGTATTTAAAAGAGGACTCTTAACATCTTGGAGAGATAAAAATACTGATAAAACTGTGTACAGTATGTACTTACCTATTGTGGTTGCATTTTTCTGTACTGAAAGATATGTGTTTGGGGCATATTTCCAGGTTTCATTTGCTTGTTATGGACATAGCACAGTGAGTTCATAATCTAAACCATCACTTCAGCAGTCTTCATGGCATAGAGCTGATTCTGTTCATGTGTTGAATTGTCATAGCAGCAAACATGAACATATGAACTGTTGCTCTTAGTAGAAATATAATATCAATATGGGCTTGTATATTTTCTTCCTTCCATTTAAATATAAAGTAGAATATGCAGTTACCTTGTTTCCAAGAAAAAGAGAAAAAAAAAGGTGGCTGACCTTTCTCCCTTATTACGTGTTTCAGGATTATCAGGTCACAGTGCGTGTGTAAAAGTCAGCTAATTATGAATACCGTCTCAACAACTTTGCAAAACAAATGAAACTTGGCATTGAGAATTCTGAGAAAGAACCAGCAGTAAAATAATCATATGCAACACCAAACATAACATGGTTTAATGAAATTCATAGGTTTTCTTTTTAAAAAAGAACATTCATGGGGATTCGATGTAAAATTGGTAGAGGCTGCCAAAGATGAAACAACTTCCTTTCAAAGTGCTGAAGCAAAGGTGCAAGTTCAACAGCTAAAGATAAAAAATAAATTTATAACAAATCCTCTTCGATTTTAGCTCGTTAGTTTTGACTCTGCATTACATTTAGTTTTGACAGTCTAAACTTTTGTTTGCCATTAATTCATCTTTTAGGATAATGGACATTAAAATCCCAGGTTTATGAAATATCTCTGCACATTAGAATGAAATGCAGTAATTTGAAATGAGAAAGACGAGGCTCCTATTTTGCACCTTACCCTGTCCTCAGAGTTAAGGTGAGAACTACACAGTTATCCTTGATGTCAATTTATGTGTTGATTATTCCAAACTGAGGAGAATAAAGCCAGATTTTAGACATACTCAAAGAAGCAATTATAAATAATGTCTAAAATTCATAGGGCAACTTCTGAGAAGAAATACTGTCTTTTCTTTTTAATTGAAAGTGACAATGTGACACTTGTCATGTGTCCGATGACACAGAGTAACTGAGGTTGTCTGACTGTTGCACCATGTGACATATTTAAGGACATACTTGCTGCATTTGCAGCAGCCCTCTCTGTCCTTTCCCACATTTCTCCTGTTGCTGCGACTTGAGCTCATTGTGACAAATGCATCTTTGTGTTATATTTGTTTGCTTCATAATTTCCAGAATTATATATAAATCTATTTTTAAAATAGCAAATATTGTAGTTAGTGAGTGATGATCACTCCAAACTTATCCCTACCATATTGGTTTCAGGGATAGGATTAAGAGTGTCTTTGGAAGAAAAAACCCTGTGGTTTAGAGTGATGCTGAGGCCTTAGGTTGTGGGCCTAGAAAACCCATGTGAGTGAACTGACCCCTCTCATCCTTTGAATCGAGCATGCATTCCTTTTTTCATTGTGCAAGTGGGCCCGTTGTTTTCCTTCAGTGTTGAGTTTTTGTCCTCTTAAATTTTATTCTATTTTGCTCTCCCTAACATCTGACTTTTTTTATAAAATAAAATAAAAAATAAAAAAGTGAGAAATAATACCCTGATGCCGCTGGATACTCACAAGCAGGGTTATGCTCCTTCATCTTGGGCTCGCTTGCCTAAAGGGAAGGATTTAAATTATTTTGTACCTCCTCCTATGCGTGGGACAGTCCAGGGTGCAGAGCCAGGAACTGCTTGTAATTGCACCTGCTATACTAAAATGTATAGCCCTAGGCTCAATCACACTATGGAAAAAAAAAAAAAAGTATATTTAGAGCTTTAAAAGCTTTTTTATTTTTTTGTGGGGATGGGGAGGGTGGGAAAGGGAAAATGTATGGATGTTATTGGCATTCTTAAATGTTCAGAGTTATGTTCCTCTCCCTCCCCTTCCCACACACACTTTAATCAAATGCACCGACCTGGTCCAGGAAAGGAAAAGAATCTCTCTTGATGCTATTACCAATGTTATCACCAAGTGACAGTCACCTACAGCAAAAAGGTGGCACCAGACATGATCGATGATGTTTAATTTGCACATCAATATTTTTATTTTTATATTCTGGCTCAGCTGCTTTCTCTGAGTGGAGTTAAGGAATGAGCCACAAAGGATTTTTGTAGTAGGTATATTGGCAATGCATTTTATATTTCTCAGTATTTAATTTTGAAAATCAAAAAGGATTGTGCATCTTTGAGAGAAAGTTGAGCAAATTTCGAACCAGTGGAATGTTCACTTGTGCTGCTGCTTATGCACGGCAGCAGCAGTATCTCTTGGAAATAAACATCCCATATTACGATGTCTATGAATATAGGTTTCCTTTTCTTCTCTTCCTCCCTCCCTCCCCCTCCTCCTCTCTCCTTTTTCTCCCCCCACCCCCCCCCTTTTTTTTTTTTTTTAAGAAATCACTTATTGTAAATAAGTTGTAATCCAAACCTCATGTATCAGTGAGGAACTTTCAAATATAAATATTACCAATACATTTTCTGGTTGTTGTCTGATTTTTGATTGAGGGATATAAGAATGACATGCCCATTGCTTTTGGTTTGAGGATTTCACTTTAGCTCCATAAACTTTTTGGTGTTTTAGTATTTCATTGTTTTAGCAGGAGAGGGCAGCAGAAGTTCATTTTTCCTGTTAGAAATGCTGTGGTTCATGATTGATTTTAAATGTGTGTGTGTGTGTGTGTGTGTGTGTGTGTGTGTGTGTATGAACATCTGTTTGTGGGCAGAGGTAAAAATGAAACATTTTTAAGATGAAAAGTTGCATATGAAAATGATGAACTGGTTCAACCAGATGGCCAAGACTTCTTATCCACATCACAGTTAAAATCCACAAAACAGTCTTCCAGCTCGGGCTCAAATGTGCTTCTTTTCAAACACAACAAAAGGCAAGTGGAATCTTAAAACACTTGGAACCTAAAATGTCTTTCTTTGAAAACGATTTCCTTTCTTCAACGTGGTAACAGAAGCAAAAATGAAGGTGCTCCCAACGAGAATGTGCCCTCCCCTTTGGCGGCCGTGTGAGCGCTTCTGTATGAGGGCGCCTCCTAATGAAGAAGTGCAGAGTTCCCGGGCCTGGCTGTGTGTTTCTGACCTCCGGCCTCGTGAACCACACAAATAATAGCTTTGACCAACTTGCCTGTGAAACAGTGGGGTTGGTTTGCTCACACTTTCATCTAGAGAAAACCAGGAGTGGTCCGGTGCCTTGCTGTATAACAAACTGCTCCAAAACTGTGGCAGAACCCACGTTGTTTGTTCACCAGTGTACCGTTTGGCCAGAACTTGGTAAGCTCGTCTAGTCTGTTCCCTGAGCATCAGCTTGGGTTTAGTGGAATTGGAGAATTCACTTCCAACACGGCTCACGCACACGGCTGGCATGTGGTGCTGGCTGCCGGTTTGGGGTTCAGTCAGATGCCTTGGTTCATGACGTACTAATGGGGCTCCTTCACAGAATGACCACTGGTTTCTAAGAGAAATTGTTCTAAGAGCCCGGCCAGTGTGGTTCAGTGGTTGAGCATTGG